CAATAAATTTCGTCTCCAACAGAGCATTCACAGTTAGAATCGACATCACGTCACTAAGAATACATCAAATTAACACAGACAAAGTTGCCAACTCTATCTTTCCAAATTATTAATATTTGCATGTTCTATATTCCTACGAAAGGAGATGCAAACTTAGGCCTGTTGCTAACGAATTTGCATTATACGTTGCAAATACCAGCATATTAGTAGCAAAAGATCATCTCCAAAACAGAGTAGATAAGTACAAGAAACTGTACCAGAATTGGAGAGTTATAATCAATCCACACATCAGTTAATTCAAAATAATAAGATCCTACCCTCCAAAAACTCCCAACAAACAAAAATCTATTCTCTTTCAAATTCCTAGGAATATTTTTCGGCATCAGACTTGACGGTAAACCTCATGTAGATGCCGTTTCAGACAAAAAAACAATACATTTACTTTAACTGGCTCTGGTTGTAAATCGTCATTCACCGTTGCGAGAAGAATGCAGAATATTAATCTTTAAATCCATCATACAATTACCATGTATACTCAATATAGGAAGGAGCTGCATCAAGCACTATCAACAAGCTAAGTACAATGCAAATAAATATCCTAGATTTACACGAAATTCACTGATACGAAATGAGAATATAAAACTTTGTACAAGTATATAAACTGGAAAGAGAACGAACAATTAAGTAATGTAATGGGTTGCTAAGGCGGCAAGTTTGTTTTGAGAGATGCTGACTAGAGTTCGTAAGGAACGGACGCCTGACAAATAAGTCGCGATATTTGAAGTGAAATATTTTTTTAAATACTCAATTAGAGTCATCAAGTGTTTAGAAGATCGTCTAAATCTTGGGGATAGTATAAGACATAATTAATCGATGATTGAAGAAAACAGAACAAAACATTCCCCGAAGCGAAACAGGTAACAGGTTGCAGATTGATTAGCCATGCAGTACTTACGAAGAATATATTTTCATTTAGTTGGAACTTAAATGTTTTATTTGACATTACCTGAAGAGTTATATGAGTGGACAGTGGCATGGGGTAAGTGGAAAGCAGCGACAGCCCAATGGTATTGGAAATAGCCACGGCACCTACGGGAACATACTCTGTTGCGGGACGGAAGTTCATTAGATACGTAACATTCGCCAGGGTTCATCCCCCTTGAACAAATACAAGACTTAAATAGTATAGATTTCAACGACATAGTACGACAGGTCAAACATTTTTTTCGACGACTGACCTAAATTTCCTTGTTTTTCATTTTTCAACTTTGAATCAACCGAACCCGAATTATATTGAGATTCCCTAAGAAACTTATACAAATCCACAGAACTCTTAAACATACCTCTCACCCATTCCCACTACCTTCCTACATACACCTTCACACATAATTTATTAAATTTCAGAGAAGTAAACAATCTCGAAATAAGGATGGCCGTACCCTAAAAGTTCTATATTCTAATGAACATTACAAAGCCCAAAAGACTGTATTGTCGGACGAAAAGCAATTTTTTTTAAATTGCTACTGGGTCGTTTATTCTTAGGTAGTTAAGGTATACGTTTTTACACATTTCTTTCTCTAAATATTCGAAATTCACAACCTTTTTTTTTCTTCTCAGTTTTTGAGTTGAAGTAGCAATTGCCTGTAGCAATTGTTTTAATAATTTTCCATTCTTCTTCGACATAATGGCTCATATATTTTTGGTTTATTTCACCAAGGCGCTGTTGGTATACACCTGATGTCTTTTTGAAGTAAATAGATATTGCATTGTCTATTAAATGCGGTTTATACTTTCTCGCCTTTTTACGTAATTACCTAATAAATAGAAAGTATTGTAATAGTGCGGCAGAAATCGACAATTTTTCTACGGAAAAAACACTTACAGTCGAGTTCTGGAAACGAAAATTTGAATAAATCTTGTTCCTGTATGTAGTAAGTTACTTCCTCAAGTCGTTGAGCAGTCAGACGTGGGTCCTACCCACGTAACTATGTTTTGTGGGTCCTTAAATGTGATGCTGTGTTCTGTGACACCGAATAATAGACTGACGGCAAAACACCAGTTTCTATCCCTGTGTGGTTCAACGCTAGCGCCTAAATCGTTTCGGTTTGCTATTTTCGTACTATTATAATACTATTTCCTCCAACATTGATATTTCCCGATTGGTCTCGAGTGCCTGCGAGATTGAAAAGGATATTTTCAATTTTGTGAGTATTTCACATAACTAAATATTTTCTATTTTCCCCAAAAAATGACTCCGAATTTTTGGTTTAACCTTTGACCACTGATACCGTAAAGAACCCTTAAAAGAATGGAGGAGGTATCATTTTCGTTGAAGTTCTGAAGTTTTAGAAAATTGTAAAGTTAAAAAAATGTTCACGTGTTTTTCAAAAACTACGATATTGATTAGAGATGTTTATATTAAATGGAATCAATTATAAAAAATAAGACCTGTCGATAGGCGATGAGCAATTTTTTGGATAAAACGAATAGTTTTCACGTAATGTCTTTTTGAAGTTAATGCAATTTATTAAAAAAACGTTTTCTCAAAACGACTCTGAACTTTTTCTTCTAATTATTTTCACAGATATAGCAATGGACACTTAAAACGGCGCAAATCCCATTTTCGTTGAACCCTCTGAAAAAACCTAGAGGATGATGGCGCAATTCTGGCTTCAAATTCGGATTCAGTGCGTCGACATACATAGAGGAATATGTGTCAAGTCTTTGGGTCTGACAACAACCGCCGAAAACAAAAATAAAACAACATTACGGCGGTTTTTCGTGACTGAAAAAAATGGAGGGTGGTGGCGCAATTCTGGCTTCAGATTAGTTTTTAATGCGTTGACATACATAGAGAAATATGTGTCAAGTCTTTGAGTCTGACAATTTTTTGGGGGGGGAGCTGTATTATTAGTATTACTATTATTTGCCATTGCATTCCTCCCACATATTTGTAGTTGTTTGGTTAATCCATACTCTTTACTATTTTCTCCCCTATTTGGATCTGTACAGTGACTATGACGACTATGAATCTGGAGGCATTTAGTGTGGGGTTTATCTGAGAGGGCTACTGAACATGTTTGACCACTTATAGGGCTACTACCTGAAAGCCTCTGGTCGGGTTTGACTCATCTTTAAGGCTTTTCTTAGGGAAAGGAATACTGACATTCATCCTTGTCACAGTCATCAATGAGGACAAAGAAGAAAGGGTTAAAGGTAAAATAAACAAAATAGGAAAATAGGATCAAAAAGTAAGAAAAATAAGTAAATAAATGACAAGACAAAGATATTAATGACACACTAGCTCACGGGATCTAATTGCATCAAGATTGGAAATGCAGCCAGGAGACGAGAATGATATACTCGTAAAACGGAAGATAATAGAAGTGTTGGAAATATAAGGGGAAGCCGTGCCACGCTAGCATGACGAATCTTTGTTATCTAGGAGACACCACGATAAGGCGTTAACGAAAACAGATATCTAAAACTGCATACAAAAATAGTACTAACCCTTAAACAATAAACGGCGGTTAAAAGAAATAAAATCTGAAGTAGTGAAATGTCAGTTCTAGGCCAATCACAACTCCAACAAATATGTATTTAAGCATTATTCACAAAAATGTATGAAAGGAAAACGAAATGTACAGTTAGTAATAACACTTGTATTATTAATGAAACTTTCCGTTGAAAAACTTTCTTTAACTAAAGACGTTGTTTCTAACATGTTTATTTATGTATCATCACTATTTTCTTATGTATCATCTCTTTTTTGTTATTTCAGATATGTCAGACGTCATTTTTACATCATATGTTGAGAGTTCTACTGCCAGGTTTTTGTCTTTGTCTCCTAATGCATCTTTTGCTTTTTCATGAGTGTATTTTTGTTCAGCTTTTTATGATTATTGGTTATTTATTTTTCGGGAATCGTTACGAAAACTTAAATATTACTTCATACACAGGCTCAAATTTTGTATTTTCTACAATTGCCATCTGGTTGTGCCTATTATTTTATGAAGTGAGGTTTATACTTTATTTAAGCTTTACTTCTTAGTAAAAAAACTAGTGCAGCAGTAAAAATGCTCTTGAACAAAGTCACCCTACCCACTCCTAGCATGGCATATCTTAGGACCAACGCAGGGCTTGAGGATTGGATTTTTCTTTCTTCATATATTTTGAAGGGCGAATTTTCTGTTTGAAATAATAATTTACAGTATTTTATTGTTGTCTGAGAAATAGACACACTTATGTGAAGAAAACAAAAAAATATTTTAATGAAGAGATGTTACAGAAACAAGGAGCGTTTCTGAGATTGTACTTGCATATTGCAATAGTACATTAAAATATTATAGTATTTGTCAGATTGTAATTACTTATTTCAAATTAGAATGTTAACCGCAACTTTAGAAGTAAAAAATGTTAGTATCTCCAAATAAGTACGTTCATATTTATCTACAAATCATTGATGCTAATGAATGGTCGTCTAATGAATGAATACTTATTTTACAGGCATTGTTAATTGATTTAAGTGTATAAAATGAAGATAGACTAAATCTGTAAAATCTAAAATATTCACGAAGATTGAAGCTTGAACAGATGTTTGTCGAAGGATACTTAGAGAAATGTTTAAAATAAAATTTCAATTCCAGAAAATAAATTAAACTTTAGATGTTCGTATGACAGCGCAATTGCATCGAGTCCCGCAATTTGGCGAAAGTACAAATGAATTTGGAAAATGCAATTCATGTTCCAGGAATTAATTTCAACAATCTAACGTAACTGCAAAGCATATATACATGCTAATAAACAATTATGTGATGTTAATACCTATTACTAAAGTTCTCGTTTTGCTCACATTGCTGTGAGCTGTGTTTACTCTGTCTGCTGTCGCGATGAGAATAGTGTCAGACTTTACTCATGTTTAAAAATAAAATTATACATAGTCGTACGATTAAGAGTGTAGATTTTTGGCAGAAATGATACTTATGTTACTTTTCTTTTAGGTGCTACTGTCAACAGGAATATGACACTAAATCCGCTCGTGATGGAAGGCTTTTTAAACTCCCTTCAACCAAGGAACAACGAGAAATGGGTAAGTGGAAATAACCAATTAGAATATGAGTATCAAAAAATTGGAAATGTTTGTACATTTGAAAATTAGAAACACAATTTTCAATATTCATTTTCGTAGTCTAAAAAGGCAGATAAAATTTAACTGTAAAATTTACCTTTACATTTAGTATATATTTTCACAGAAATTTGGCACTATAACCATTAAGCCATTATGTTTTAGACCAGATGTATCAATGTATACGAGTATTACGTACACAGATCTATACACCACCCTTTGCAGAAACAATAAAATGACAATGCTTTCTATATATTTTATAATCAGCGAACAAGACTCCCTTTGTATCCGTTTCTGTCAAGTAAAAAAATCAGACTACAACAAACCACTTAACATATTTACATTCTGATTCTCTACACCCATCTTATGGTTGATAACAATATCAAGGTGCCTGATTAATCAAGATGCATCAATCCTGAGTTATTTCCTCAATATATCCGATATTGTCCACGTTAATATATTTACAACCACTACAGATCGAATAAGATCTTATGTTGTTAAAAATACTGATTCTCTGATAACACCCTTTTCTGCTCAATTCCATACCACTTTTAGACATTCGTCTTCAGTAATGCATTATTTTTGTACCTATCTCATATCATTTTCAGGTAATAAAAAAAGTAGTTTATTCGCTTTCCCGATTAGATGCGCGAGAATTAAGCCTTTGCTTAAAACGCCTGCTTCTTTTTTCATAATAAAAGATCTCCAAAAATTAGGGACGTTTTCGCAAAGAGCTTTTACCAGCTCATAAAACGCCTCGTTGCATTTGTATGACGGCACTACCTTCCATTGGCGGTCACCAACACGCACTTTTACTACGTTTAGCTCAATACTGCTGACGCTGCAGGAGCTCTGATCGGGATGCCCTTGGAGTCGAATCTCTACGGTGGCGAGATTTCCGTCACTAGCTATTTAGCTAGGTCCAGCATAGCGGTTGTCTGGAGGAGAATTATAGCGATCGGATGCTCTGATTGGCAGCATCAATACCGGGCGAATGCCAGAGCCGAAATCTAACAATTGGGCCACGGACCGCGCGCGAACTTTCCTTCCTTTTACTTACCCTAATCTCACCCCGTACATACACAGAAACACTTACTTGCACTGCAATCCCACCCCATGTTTGGACACGAGCCGGGAGCATTGAACGGGGTGGGGTCTCGTTAGTGGGAGGTACCCGAAAAAGAAAACTCTCGGAAGTTGATCTGTAGGTCGGCCCTCGGTCTCACTATGCAGTGGGGGATGAACACTGCAATCTCTCGCAAAAAAGCATTCATTTATGACCAAAGCTGTGGACGTTCCCTGCATGTCGACCAATCAATCAATCAATGACCACGCAACGAGTGGCTCAAATATGCCACCTTTTCTGTGTACCATTGAATTAACTTACTATATTACCTGTAATTTATTGTTTTCGGAACAGGGAAATCCGAAATTGCTTGTAATAGTCTCTCCCGACCGCAAATTTACATCTCCCTATCCCTTGACTTAAATACTGAATGCTGTAGATTTTTCAGGCAGCACATTGAGCTGTGCCTTTCCAAACTTATAAATGCAGACTCGTGGTGATTATTAATTATTATTATTATTATTATTATTATTATTATTATTATTTGTAGAAGAGGGTTTTGTAACCCCAAGGCTGATGATTGAGAACTTGCCACGTATCCCTTAATACAGTGATGTCAAAGTATGGCACAAAACATGACTCTCACGCAGTAATGATTAATCGTACCAGTGCTCCATTCCTAATTTACAAGAAAAGTTTAACAGTCGGGAAGTCTCGAGACTTGAATAAAAGTCCAAAGGGATATTTTGGAATGGAATATTTGCTCCTAGTAGTGCGCTGATGCACCTTTGCTGTTTTAACACATACCTTTAGAACAGATATTCCTGCTGATCTCGCGCTTTTTTAATTTTTTTTATTTATTTATCTTTAACTTTTATTCATCTTTTAACTATTTATAGTTAAAATGACGGGAAGGGATTCTGGAACTCAAGAAACGTGCGCAGATGGTCTCCCCCTTACGTCATATATAGATTTTACTTTTTTTACTAAAAAATCTAAATCTATTAACCATGAGTATATCAGACTCACTCCGTAACCTGTTTTTTTGTACTTTCGAGCCGCTGATCCTAGACAATACAGCCGTTTGCAGGGTGATTCTGAATCAGTTTGCGATATACCTCTTTAAGAAAAACTTGCCGGGAAACTAGTCCGTTTCGGTGATGATTTTCCGAGAGATAGTGGGTACAATGTACTCAAAGGTATTTCTGAGAACACTACGGCAGTATTTTTCAAGAGAAGAACCAAGAAAATAGTTTCTACTGTAATAATAGTAGTTTGCCTGGCGTGCATGGTGAAGCTGCTTTTGAACAATTTTCCATAAAATCCGTCATAACTGTAATATATAAACAAAAGGTTTGAGCAGTTGAATCATTGTACCTAATGTGTAAAGACAATTTTTTCATTGCATAGCAAATAATTTCTTACCTAAGTTTACGTAAAATTACTTATTTGATATCAATCACTATTTTTTGGAAAAATATCTCACAACAACCACCTGAGAAACGCACTTTCTTGATACGCGTTGCATCAAAAACGTAAAGTTACATGGTCACCTTTCGCTCTTGACAAAATCTATCTGGGATTAACATAAAATAAATCTGGTTCTAAATCTTTCTTATTATGATTTATCTTAGACTGCTTAAATTTGTGCACTCAAGATTTATTCTTTTTTTAGTGTTTTTCCTTAATCCAGATAATATGCGTTTCGAAAATATCAACACTGCTAAAAATGATCTTTGAAATTCATTTTTTGTATTACTTCTTTCTAATAGCAAATACAAACAAAAACATGCAATAAGTAAAGGTATTCAGCAAACATTTTCTTTAGAGTTTACGCCGATTTTATGAATTATTTGTTACATGATTTTATCCGCGTCGTTAGTACATTTTCGTAAGTTTGTTGTAAATAAAATACTGTTTCGAATATTAATTTTTAATATACTTTTGGGGGAGAAAGATTTTTTACACATTTGAAGGCAACATCAAGTTAAAATCTTCATAAAACTAAAAAAAATAAAATATTTTTAGCGTCGAAATCTGTTTTGTTTTTCACTTTTAAAGAGGAACAAGTTCAGTGTACATTTATAAGGTGGAGTTAGATTTACATTTCACATACCAAAATGTTTCGAATTATTTCACAATAAATACGAGTAAAAGGAATGTGTAGTTATTGGTAAAACGAAATGGTATGAATTACTTTAGAAGAACTTCGTTTTAAAATTTTCCACTTACGCCTCTTAACGATTTTCAAATTCATTGAAGAATGTTCTTTAGTTTAATCTGAATAAAAATATTCAGTTTATTTATGATTAATCATTTTGGTTCATTAAAATGTTCTTGATTTGACTAGTGGCTTTAGAAGTACACACACTGTCTCGTTTTATTTGTAAAATTTCAGAAAAAATCTTGAGAAATGGCAGGAAACGAACCTCAGAGAGATAACCCTGAAATCTCACTATTAATCATTCTTCAGATATTCTCTTCGTACTCTGCAGGCACTATACCCGTACATTCATTTGATCATGTAGCCCATGTAACATAGCGATTTGCTTTAATTCCATCCTATCTGACGCACAAATTATGCACTAAATGGTATTTCAAGGTAATTTAATAGTTTTTATGTAACAGAAACTTTTATTATTATTATTTATCTCATTCATGTAATGGAATGGCATTTCTGCATTTTCCTATGAATTTACATCATACTCGCGTCATTCGTGAATAAAATATATTAAAACACTATTTCAAACTATCTTGCATAAAATTGTACACAGTTCAATGTTTCAAAAAACAATTCAAATTTTGAGAAGAAAAAATCAAGCAACTTCATCACAAAATGTTTCAATATTGTAACTTTTTCTTGTACATGATCTCTTCCTGCATTACACGATCACAAACTTTGTTCCACTTTCCTCTGTCTCTAGCTTCTAGTAACCCAAGTTCATTTTTGCGTTGTCATACATGTGGTACAGAGAAAATTTTGTAATGCTACAAAAAATAGATTCGAAATTTTAATGGAAATATGCCTTTTGGGGATTCCTGGTACAAAAAAGTATTGTCATCAAAACTGATAAGCCCCGATCGATCTCTCTACACACATGCCCCACGAAAATTACTACTACGCCTGGAGATTGTAACTCCCATAGCTTACTCCCATATCCTCCCAACTTAACTTCCATAGCCTGCTTTGTACTTTTTCACAGAAGTGTAAGACAAAACAACATCGCTTTCACAATGCATGTCAGGCAAGTACTTTTCGTTGTAAATCCCTATATTTTCCTTTAATAATTATGCAATAAATATTTTTATACAGCCACTAGTTAATGCATTTCTTTCAGGAAATACGTAGCTTGTTAAAAGTTCAATTTTAAGCATGGTAGTGCTAAAAGTAAGATCATGCTCAATTGTTCATTTAAATCAGTGATTGCAACAAGAAAATAAAATAGTTGTTTTATCTGACCGCCTCTGCTACTACGGACCTTAATGTATCATGAAGTAATTTTTGGACGTGAATTAAAATAAAATAAAAATCAGTAAGGCTGTCTATAAATCAGTGTTGGACACACGTGGAAAAAGTGATTTTATTTTGTTCGTAGAAGTACATTACTCGGCCTATCGGTTTCGTATCTCAAACTTCTTTACTCGCAAAATTAAATGTCACTTTTACCACTCGTATCGTAAAGAACTAGTTTTGAGATGTAAAATATTCGATGGAATTGAATTACATTCTCTTACGTTGTTATCGTCTTGTTTTCGTTTTATTTTCACTTTTATGGGGCTTCGGATGTACATGTATTTAGAAATGTACAGAGGTATTTCCTTAAAATTTCTTGTTCTTTTAAATTCCTTGAAACTTTTAACTTGATTCAGAGATTTAAAATGATTCAGACTAGCACAA